ACCTATTGCCTGTAAGCTTGGCGCCTGTGAGACTCGGGGTAGGCCAACCCACAGTGCACGCATGAACGGCAGGCAAGGATTTGCCTACCTACCAGGCGCTATGAAAACTTCCAAATTGCACGTTGTGCATTGGATGTTTACTTAGACCAGTAAAGGTGTAAAAGTAAATGTGTAAAACACGTGGACTTGTGTCCTAAGTGTACGAACAGAAATCCACACACCTACCAGTGTACCAGAGTGCGACATTCACACACAGATTTTCAGTGAGAACGTTCGTAACGATTAATGACGGAAGTATACTTTCTCGATGATGTAAATTTTAAATACTTTTTGTAAGAGTAAGTTACACTCGAAAAATCTTTGGGCGAAAGCAGTGTCTACCTGCCTATATAATCTTTTGGGGTGGCCCTGTGCCGTCACTCCATTAGTAACCAAGGTCCCAGCGGTTCCGTTGGGCTCGCGTGCCCAAGGCGGGCTGACGGCTCAGTCGATACTGAATAGCTGCACACGCTGGGCACTAGCGTATCAGTGAGTTTCGCGTACACTCTAAACCCTAGGTAGGTGCATAGTGCTTCCAGGATACTATTCAGCCGGTTATGCGTCATGATGTCCCCACCCCCACTATGCTTTCATAGGGTGCTTAGGCTTAGGAAATTTCGCGTATCTTGTCCTGTATAGAATTTAGCATGATTATACTATAGTATGTGTTGCACGTTTCGATGTTTATGAGTTCCCCAGCATATTTCTGGATATATCCAGGAACAGCATCGCTTGGCACACCCGAATGAGGGGCGTTTCCATCACAGGTATACGGGCCGGGTCGACCGCACACTTCAGGGGTTGAGCGATGCGAGGGGTGGGTCGGGTGAGAGGGGGAACGGGTGTGAATACATTGTCGAGTGGGGCCACGTCCACCTCCTGACCGCGGGCCTGGACCTGTCCAGTTCGGTCAGCAAAGCAGCCGTCCAAGAGCAACCGGGGGGCCCGAAAGGGGGAGGGAGAGGTTTACAGGTTGGTGTATGATAGGGAGGGGGGAAAGAGGGATAGGAATCCAGAGAACGCGATATTCGTGGGTCCCGTCGTTATGGAAGGCGGTGCAGGACGTCGTCTGTGCGGCCGGCTCACGGCCGCGGTCCTTCACGGATGGCTAGGTCCCGTGCAGTGTACGTAGAAAATAGTCATATCCGACTTGAGCACGTCGCGGTAAATGCTGTGTGAGTTCTTTTTTGTTCTTTAATTTATAGTTGAAAAATGAACATTGTTATTTTTGGGAGGGCTACAATGTTTTTTTCCAACCGCCCTTTTGCTTCGAAAAAGGCTTAGGTATTCCGTTTGGTGTGAAATTGTTGAGTCACATGAGTTTGGGGTGTTTCCAAAGTTTGGGAATCACTTGGGGCGCCTCATTGCGAAGCGTTACTTTTTACTGTGCAGAGACCGTAGGCTACCTACACTTGGGTGGTCGGCCGTGCCCCGTTGGAGCAAACGCGTTGCATATACTATCCCGCATGTAGACGTGCTGACGTGTTGCCCATTCGCACCCGGCAATGTGGCACCATGGCTGCAAATGATACGCAAACCCGTCCGACCGTCCACACCACACCCGTGCATGCGTGCTACTGTACGCATGTTTGCCCCAAAAGGACACGGCGACCGCCCTCCCTCTGATTACCAACAGGTGGCAACCACAACAACAACAATCGCAAGAAATTTCGTCTCGTCAGAGTTTATTTCAGTTTCTGTTTTTGGTTCACAGGCACCATTATCAAGGGGCGCCTCCAATCGGGGGCAAGACGTCACATCGCCGCAGCTCTAGTGGACGCGGCGAAGGCAACCTGTTCTGCCGTCTCTCTGCGGCTCACATCCAGCGACGCCCGCACCGCGCAGCCGCGCGACACGGCCGCACATCAAGCTCTCTGTAAGCCGCTCATGTTTTATGTAGCTTGTAATTCATACAGCGACTCTAAAAATTGCTGATTTGCATCTCTGCGGCAAACGTTTATCCTTTTCCCCCTCTTTTTGCACGGCGCCGCTTCGGCGGACCCCGAGTGTTTGGTACCGCCCACCTGGGACATGGGGAGGGAGGGGGAAGGTGAAGGGAAGCAATCATACTTTGAACCCAAGTCCATTTTCCGTACCGATACAAGCTTGCTCATGAACAGGCATGTTAATGCTGTATTTTACGCACGGTAAAAATGATATCTTGTATTCCACGAAGATTGCTTGAAATTCAAGGGGAAACGCCTCGAATTGCAAGCAATCTGCTTGAATTACAAATTACAAGTCATCATTTTTACCGTGCGGAAGGAGAAAAAGTCGTCCCTTCCTGAACGTCAATTTTCTATATTGATTATGACGCGCGTTTCTTCACGTCACGTACATTTTTGTTTTTCTAAACCGGGGCGTTCATGTCGTTCTGATGAGAGAAGATATGAAAGGATTTTGGCGTTCTGTCGGCTGAGGCGATGTCTTTTTCAGCCCCTTTCCTCTTCCTTGCCATCGGCGGCAGCAGCAGAGTGAAATGTCTCTCGACGGTGAGTGGAGCGCGGCTCGAAGCATGACAGTAATGTATTGTAGACAGCCACGCCACAAGCCCTGCCGTTTACGACAGAAGCCCCCAGCCGCCCCCACCCGATACACGCACTCCGGCACGCCTCCGTGCGCCCGCCCCGCCCCGCCGCACCCCGCCGCACCCTGTCGCACCCCGCCAATGGGCGGCTCCTCTGCTGGCCTGACGGGACGTTCTGGTGGCGTTTGATATACGTAGGGCCCCGTGCGTTAACATTGTGCACGGGGTAGCTGAGCGAAGTGCATTAAAATAACAGAAGATGTAACAAATATAGAACATAACTAATGAATTTGGGTCCGCCTAGTAGGTAGGCAACCACTTCCCTGCTCCTCGAACGTGAGCAATGGAAGGGGGGGGGGG